TTCTGCTTTCGGATTCTGCTACGAAAATGCTCAACAATTATGCTGGCCCTGAGTTTTCGCCTGGTTATAAGAAAAAAATTCCAGTTATTTTATATAATTTATGGTGTCCTTTTCAAATAATATACCACATTTCGTTGCTTAATTTTTTAGAAGCCAAAATGTGGAGAAACTTCTTTCATAAAATTAAGGTAAAACTAGTACAATACACGGGTTTGAATTAGAAAGCTTTTCTTAAAAATATTCAATTTTTTATTTTTTTTTTAAAAACTAAAATAATTTAGTTTTATATAGAACATTACTTTGAGTTTTAATTAAATTGTCAAATTATATTTTTTTAATCATAATAACTAAACACCCGTACATTAAATGAAAATGTCAATCCGTGTTGAATTTTTTTACTTATATCATATATTATTATATATTTTGGTATGACACATGTTAATTGTGCGACTTATATGTATTATATTATAATAAATTTTCTACCTTATAACATAGAACTACATTAAACATAAATATATTAATTGATAAATAATATTATTTCTAATTAATTTTAATAAATAATTTTATTATTATTATAAAGATAAATATAATTTATTTATTTTTATATACAATATGGATGTCAAATCAAATCTCATCAAAAGATGATTAATTTGATATATTATATATGTAAAACCGATAAGAAATACAAAAGTTATCAACTTTTAAAATATATTTACATTTCAATGGTTATAATAGGAAATGATATTAAAATACAATTAATAAAAATATTAATTTATATCCAAGCCTAACTCCAAAGGATGATTTTTTGCCAAATAGGATTATGAAGCATGAGTGTTTCTCACGTAGGCTCAACGCATTCTGAAACTATATATAGAGGGGATTGCACCATAAGCACTGACGTTTAAAAGAATATACTTTTGTAACGATTTCATTCAAAACGGTATATCTCCTTTATACATAATTACAATCATTTTTCTTAGAATGATATATCTCCTTTATATATAATTACAAAACGTGTTGAGTTTAAGTGACAGTTTTGCATGTTTCGTAATCTTATGTGGCAATATTTATACTTTGTAATATGGCTCGGATAAAAATAACTAATTTTTTTTATACCAAATAGGTTAGATTTGGATTGTTAGTTAGCCTGTTGTAATTATGTGTTTGTTTTATTGAATTCAATTATTATTTTTTTTTTTTAAAAAAAAACAACTACCCATACATATAGCCAAATGAACTCGCTCCATTGACATGCTTACATTTNTTTAAAAGTGTAAAACATTTTTTGATTTGTTGTTTAACTCTTCTTGTTTGTACAACAAGAAGAAGACCATAGATGTTTGCAAATCAACCGTGGCCACGAGTAATGCTATAGAGCCAACAGTTATAACTCAAGTGTAAACAAGGGCGGATCTAGAAATTTTTTTTGAGGGGGACTAGAGTTGTTATTCGAAAAAAAAATGTCTGCGAACACAACTCGGTTTGACTCGTAAAAACTCGAGGTAAGATTGTTCTTATAATTAAACGAACTAATCTCAAACACTTAATCGAAATTGTGTATTAACTGAATTGGGTCTCACTTGTTTTTTAAATGAATCAAGCCGAACTGATTCATTTATCAATCAAACACGAGCTTGAACATGAGATATTTTTGCTTTACTCCACTTGAATAACACCTTTAGAGAGTATATATAATTTTTTATAACCCACACATATAAGGCATACAATTTCTTTATATATAAAATAGATAAAATAAATAGTAAAAATACTTTACAAAATATATAACTTATGGATTTTGGTATTTTAAAATTTTACATGAGATTATTTAGATCCCAAGACCTATTAACAATTTATTTTTCTTCTTTAAGGGGACTCATTAACAATTAATTCATTGTTAATAGTTTTTGCGATTACTTTTCGATTCTACGAAATTGTATATCTTGCATGTTTTGCTATTTCAAAATTTTTAATTTTAAGATGTTACATGTATCATACATTCAATTTAATTAAATCCTATATTAGAAATACAAAACACCAAATATTATAGATGAAGAGTGAAAAATTATTAATGTACTTAAAAATGATTAATAGACAAAGCAATATAATAATTAGTAATAATTATTGCGTGTAGGTATAAATTGAATATGCTTATATTATTATGCATTAAAAAATAACAATTTGATAAAATGCTTATAATGTGTATATATATACATAGTAAAATATTAAAAGTTTGGGGGGGACAATAGCACACCCCCCCCCTCCCCTGTATAGTATGTGGATCCGCCTCTGCAGTGTAAATATAATATTTTTAAATTTTTTGATAATACATTTACACTTAAGTTGTAACTCAAGTTGTCATCCAAGTAGGATAAATAACATTACTCATCTTCTAAATCAAGCCCTGATCTACAATTTTCAACTCTAGATTTTAAACAAATTCTATATTTTTCTTTTTTTTTTCCCCTTTTGGGACTCCAAGTAAAATTTTTTGACTTTAATCGCACGTAAATTCTCTACGGTTAAAACCCACCTATAGGAAAAATTAGAGATTTAGTCTTGTAAGTGGACCAAAATTGAGATTAGTCCTCTCGGATACCCACTTTTGAAAAACGTCCCGTAAGTGCCAAAAATCGTGAGAAATCGTCCTTACACCGGCTACCGTAGGTAATTCTTACCGGTTGCTGACATGGAATTTGCTTTCATTTTTCTCTTTTCTTTTATGAGCCACGTAGGTAATATAGATCGACTAATGCTTTAAATTGGAGGGAAAATTGCACACACACACAAACCCTAATCGCTCAATCGGAAAAGCTGCCGAGAGCTGAGAGATCTTGCCAAATTCTTATCAAATTCGGGAGTCACAAATTCACCATGTCCTCGTCGATCAGTAACTTCAGGGTTTCCCCGGATTGTCGATGTGGGAAGAAAACGAAGGTGTGGACCTCGTGGATTCCAGCCAACCCAGGTAGGCGATTCTGCGGGTGTGAAGATTGGGAGGTACTCTTTTTTCTTAAACGTGTACTCAAGCTCTCTCAGTTCCGCCATGTATTTATTCTTGTTCCAAAGTTCACAAACATTATTTATAAGTGAAACACAATTGTTGCCCTAATTCAGGATGGAGGCTTTGACTTTTTTGCTTGGGAAGATCCCCCAATTCCTCGACGTACTGCATATGTCCTCCGGAACCTTCGTGAAGAGAAGGATATTCTGATGAAAAAAGTTGAAAATTTGGAGAATCAGAGGCGCAAATGGAAGATGTACTTAATAATTTCTTGGTGCTTAATCGTTTTGTTAAAGTGTTTAGGATTTGTCTAATGAGTGAGCCACATTTGTTGGTTCTTAATTGTTCTGTTAAAGTGTTTTGGATTTGTGTAAGAAAGTACTAGCAATATCACTGTAGGGATTTTAAGAACTTGTTGAAGTTGAAGTTCCATGTGTGTGTTGAAGGACCAGTTCTTGTGTGTGTAATGCATCTGCCACATTGTTATCAATGCATTTTTAAGGATCAGTTTTGGCTTGATATTATTTTCCATGAGTGAGTTTGTTTCCAACCAACAAAGAAAGTTATCTTTTAAGAACCTAATATTGGTTATGCTTATCATGTGTTTATATCTTCTGTTTGAACCTCACACAGGATCAGTTATGGTTATCTTATAATGTGTTTGGTTATATTGATTTCATATAAAAGATTAGAACCTAATATAGCACTAAAAACAACATCCCAACACTCAAGTCTACAACACCAAAACAGCATAAAACCTGTAAAACCTGATACAACTGCTATAAGTATAAGCAGATTAAACCATCATACCATAGCTAAAGCTATAACCATCAAAGCATCAAACCATCAAACCATATCAATAACCATAAAACCAACATAGGTTTAATCATAAAACCATTGCCATAATTATAACACAAAAAGTTAAGTGTTTAAGATCCGAAACATAAGCTAACCACAGCCAATCCCAGTTTCAATCCAAAAAACAATCTTAAGAACATCAAACCATAGCATAATCAAAACACTAATTAACGTTTCTTCATCCAAAAAAGGCAACTACATCAATTCTTCTTCTTTCTTTTGCCCTTCCCCTGTACCATTTTTGTACTTTGTTTAGCAAGACATGCATTCAAGTCTGAAAATGTGACATATTTCTGGGGCTTCATGTTATATGCCGAAGATCCACCAGGCTCATTGTCCTGTTGGGACTGAAGTTGGTCCCATATGGTTGGAGGTTGTTCCTGTGTAGCCTCATGCAATGCACCATCCTGAAAAGCAGTAAAAACTTTAGTATCATGATAGCAGCATCATATTATGATGAAAATGTAAATAACTTAACTTTACTAATAATTATCACCTGGATAGCAATATGCTGATTTGGATTTGATGGCTTCTTAGGATTGGGAATTGAGGTCTTAGGAACCTATAAATTGCAAGTAACTAAGTACATATAATGAAATAAATGAAATAACATTATGATTATCATTATCACCTGTGGAGTTGGAGGGAGAATAGCTTCTTCTTGAGTGACTTGACTTGCAAATTCAGTTGTTGTATTCTGATGAAACTATGTAATTATGAAAAAATAAAAAATTATGTAAAGGATAAGAATAAACATAGAGGATAAGAAAAAATTATGTAATATCATTATCACCTGTGGAGTAGGAGGGAGATTATCCTCTTGAGTGAGCTGACTAGCAAATTCAGTTTGGCTAGACATTTCACCTAAGGATGTGCTTTTGCAATGAGTTTTGTTATGACCCTTTGCACCACAGTTACTACATGAACATTTCATCTAGGGTTTCATGAGAATACAATAAAATTTACAAACATTTCTCAAATTAAGAAACGAACTTTTGATGATTCGAAACATTTACAAACAAACAAGAACTTACCATAATCGGGTGGTGGAAATTGAAAGTGTTCAGGTGGCCTGAACATCATTATATTGTCCATTGTTCTCTGCGTCACAATTTTCAAGGAACAGAAATTTTGCAGAAATTGGATCGTCGAGATTTAGGGAAAAATCGGGATTTTTTTTGTTATGGGTTGAGAAAATGACGATTAGGGTTTGTGTGTGTGTGTGTGTGTGTGCAATTTTCCCTCCAATTTAAGGCATTTGTCGATCTATATTCGCGACGTGGCTCATAAAAGAAAAGAAAAAATGAAAGCAAATTCCATGTCAGCAGCCGGTAAGAATTACTTACGGTAGCCGGTGTGAGGACGATTTCTCACGATTTTTGGCACTTACGGGACGTTTTCTAAAAGTGGGTATCCGAGAGGACTAAATCTCAATTTGAGTCCACTTACAGGACTAAATCTCTAATTTTTCCCCACAGCTATTGTGAATTTATTTGTTTTTAATAATTGACGTAGCATGGTAATTGAGGTTAATTTGACCAATGTTTTGGTAATTCTTGATTGTGTTTAATTGTCCAACTTTGAATTCATAATTTAAAATTTTAAAGTCGTATATTGATATTACTCTCTTTCATTAATTTTCTCACATGTTTCGGATTGAAAAATGACATCTTTTGAGCACTAGATTGAAATATTTTAATTTGTATAAAAAGAACCTAAATTTTTAAACTCAAAATTCACAAATACCATATTTATCCAATCATACATATGCCCTGCGAAAGACATGAATATTTGTTTTGTTTGTATTGTAAAGAAAATAACCATGAATTCTCCAAACTTAAAACTGGAATAATTTCTGTAGAAATTTCGTAAAATCCGGCGGATAATTAAAAATAATCTATCTTTTTGGTTATTCCCTGTATATAACTTTTGAATGTGCTGAACTTAAATGTCAGACTCGCACGCTTCAGAATCCTATTTGACAAAATTTCATGTTTCGTCATTTGACTTGACTAACTTTTAATTTACTTTCAATACATAAATAATTAGGTTTGAAATTATCCATAAACATACTGGATATTTATGGCCACTATTAAATATCTTGTGCACATGCACAGATGTACATAAAATATAATAAGTAATATTTGAGAATTTAGTATTAAAATTTTAGATAATGAATATATTACATCTTTAAAATTTAATCATTAGGAAAAATAAATTAAAGATTGTTTATTATTATGAACAATTATTAATTATCATTAGATAATAGCAGTTTGAAGTAAAAGATAAAATTGATGTTAAAATAAATAACTTGAAACAATTGTTTATAATTATGCAATGTATATTTATTGTGAATTATTATTAGTTGGTATTAGCATTAATTATTATATAATATAATAGAAAAATACATGATTACACTGAATAGAATGTATTAATGTGAGAAGTAAAAAACATTAATGATAAATTTTGTAACCGAAAGTGGAGAGAAAATTTTAGAGGTTTTATTAAATAGGTTTTTCTTAAATGCTATTAGCTAGTAATTATATATTAGTAATCAATGTGTGCATTTGCACAGAGAAAAATACTTTAAAAAGGTAACAATATAAAAAAAAAAAATAAATCATAATTTAATTTATGAAAAAAATGTAAATTAAGAAAATAATTCTCAAAATTGATTTTGATCAAGTAATTGCTATGGAAGAGCCGTTACAACCGTTTTCTTTATGTTAATACACCCGACCATTTTCATGAGTGGAAGTGACTTTGAGTACAATTTTGTAACTTCCTTGATTGGTTTATGCTCATAATTTATGGCATTCAAGCAAGTTATTTTGTAACATAAAAGTGAAATTGAATGCTGAAAATTTTGGAGGGAGAATAAAATTTAATGCATGAGAATAAAATTTAATGCATGATAATATAATTTAATGCTTTGTTGCTCCTCTTTATATATGTATAGATATATAGATATTTATGAGCATTAATTGTGTTTTATAATAATTTTCTATTAAGGACATGGTTTATAAGGAATGATAATTGTAGCCTCAAATATTCTTTTTCTCCCAATCTTTTTTCATTACAATACACTTTACTAACTTAAATTTAAAATATATTTTAAAGTTAATTATTATATTTACTCTCAATTTTTTATATATAATATAACAAATCAATCATCTTTTCATTAGCTTCGATTTGATATTTATATTGTATGATAAAAAAATAATTATATCTGTACTTAAAAATAAAAGTTAAATCATCTATTAATTTTAGATGGAAAAAATAAAGTTCTTTAAAAATTAAGGGAATTTAACTACAAAATAGTTATATGATATAAGTTAAAGTTTATTATAATATAAGATGACTGAGTAGTATATGTGAAGTGTCATTTAATTTTAAATATAAATAATAATAATATATTTGTTCAAAAAAATATTTAAAATTTTAAAGATTTTTTTTATTACTTTTTAAATTTATGTATACATTTTTTAACAAACATCTATGTAATACACGTGTATTATACTATTACTTTTTAAATTTAAGTTTTTAAGGTGAAAATTTTAACAAGCACCCGTGTAATACACGGGCATTTTATTAGTAATAATAATAATAATAATAATAATAATAATAATAATAATAAGAGAAGTAGATTGATCTAGTTATGTTCTCCACATATATATGATCATTTATTTCTATTTCACATACATGAATTATTTGAGTTGGATTGGCAGTTGGTTAAATTCCACATCAATGTCATATGATAATCTTTCCTCTTTCCCCAAATTCAATATATACAGTATTTGCCATAATAGGGTTGTGTTCATATAAATGCTTAATGCTCCAATTTGTTATCCCTATGTACGATGAACAAAGTATGAGAATATAAAATGGTTGGGAATTGAAAGAAAAAGCACGGTCATATATAATATAATTTTGTTAATTTATTCATGGGGGTTACAGTCACATTATTATTAGTAGGCTAGATTTAACTAGCCCAGAATATATACACGAGTACAACCCCCCTCACACGACTTCCAATTCCAAGTAAAAAAGAAAAAAAATAGAACACACACACACACACAGAAACATCTTCATAAACGCGACGATACTATATATTTGTGACCGTACGTCCATCCATCAAACATGCTTCCATTGATCTCATTTCAAGGCACTGTGTAGTCTGCAAATGATCAAACAATTAACAAAACATTTATAACTATCTAATATTATTGTTTATATTTACTTTTATATATTATTTAACAAAGAAGAGAAAAAAAAGAAGAAGATAAAATTCCCTTTCTCGATCCACTTCACTTCATGATCATGAGCTGGTACACTAACTAACAACTAGNCATACCAAATGGACCAAAAACGTGTCATCAAATTTGGTACACTGATGAATTTGGGTAAATTAGAGGTACAGTTATATGAAAAATGCTACAAGTACATAATAAACGTATATAGAGGTGTACATAACACTCACATGGAGTGAGATTCACTTAATTTCTTTAGTTTTGGTAGGACCCACTTAATGTGAGTGCTATGCACACTTTTATGTACAATATTATGTATCTATAGCATTTCTCCAATCCAATTATATATGTGAAGTTAGTGGAGTTGAAGGTACTGACCATCACACTTATAGCCCGCGTGGCGCTCTTTTTCAGAAATGTTACAGCGTTTGGGAATAGTCAAGGCATTCGTAACATTGATGCCATAATTACTCTCTGCCATCTTCATGACTGCGCACATGCACACTGGGTTTTGAAGCATCTTCTTCACGGCGCTGCAGCATTGTCGGGAGACACTGGCGTTGGGGTCCTGGGCAGCCTCTATGCATGGCGCCAGCTTCAGGGCCTCTTTATCCGGCGAAGAATTGGGGCACGGTCCCTTATCCCCGTACGCACTGCTCACACCATAAATGATTGCAACTAATAGTATGCACACACACTTCACTGAAATTGCTGCCATCCGCTATAATTAATTTGTTGTATGGGATACATTGAGGAAATGTGTATGGGGTTTATATAGATATAGCGCTGAGAATGCATTTTTCCATATTCACAAGAGAAAATAACGAAAATATTGGACAGTGTGCCACTTCCACTAGTGGGATATTTAAATTGAATGTTGACGCGGATGGTTTACGTGGCGCTCTATGAGTGCGCTCCATTCTTTGTTTTTTGTTTTGTGGAATTTGTTTAGTCGTGGGGGAGGTTGAATTATCGACAATGTCCCTTCACCTACCATGCCGCTGTTATTCTACCTTTGGCAAAAATGTCATTCTACCTGTTGCACTTAGTGTAGTGCCCGTAGCATGAAATTTTCCGTGTTGGCACTTGGTCTTTTTTTTGTTTCCCCTCCCTTGAAATTCACCATTTTCTCGAGTTTCAAATAAATTAAGAATGTCCATCTCTCTCTCTCCACGTATTGCCACTCACTTTTAACAATTCCTAGAGTGTTGTATTACACAGGTCATAATGAAATATTTATCCTTACTTTTTTAATGAAAAGAAACATTTTTTTATGTAAGTTTCAAGCACTCGTCATTTGGCACTACTTACTCCTATATTATTACAGTTATCTAAATTCATGTTAATGTGCTGGAACTTGGATCTTCGTTGAACCGATTACTGAAAGGCCTCCAAACGTCTAATAATAGTTGATTAACTGCAATATTTAGCGTGAACAATGTGACGCTCAAATAAGTGATTGAAAAGGAGAGGAAGTTGGTGAATGTATCTAGAGAATTTCGAAAGAGTATTTCAATTGTACTTCATCCGTTTTAATTTATAGCAAGAATACGTTGGTGCCAAGATTTAGCTGCGGTCCTGCCTAGCTTAGTTAATCTGCCCAGAGTTGCCCTACCACCCGAGGTAAATCCTTATCTACTTTGTGTTCATCCTTATCTTGATCAGGTCCATGTTTACTTAGGTCTCTATATCCACAATTCTTTCTTTCGGTCATCCTGTTGTGCATTTGTAGGTCTATTTCCTTAAGTAATCCTATTTGATATTAGTAGATCCCATGTATCTAGGTCGGACGTCCTCCTTGTTAGATTTGCTGTAAAAGCTTGACTTTCAATATAAACAATTCCATTTTAATCTGGTCAAAGTATTTATGTTTGTAGTTTATTTATTTATGCAATCGTGTAGTCTTGATTCAGTTGATCTTTGACTGATGGGTTACACTAGTACTTATGATAAGTATTGAACGGACTGCGGAAGGATAATATTATAAGATTTACTGATCGTTGTTATAATCTAGACGTTCAGTGATTGATGCGTTCTCTTAAGCTGTAAGATAATATAAAATGGACATATATATATATATTCATTACTTATTTATTGATTTACCAAGGGTGATTCCTATTATGTTAGGATGACATACTCGGTATTTTGGTAAGTAAGAGTGTTTATATCCATGTTTTAAATACCATACCGTACCGGCCGGTAATACCGGATACCGGCCATTGGTACGGTACAATTACACTCAAAATACCGGATTTGCGCTTATACCAGTTTGTATCGGGATCATACCGTAAAAACCAAAATACCGGTCCAAAATACCGGCCAATAAAAAAAATAAAAATAAAATTAAAATTTTTTAATTTAAAAAATTAAAATTTAAATTGATAGTTAAAATATTTTATTTTTATCTCATTGAGAAGTTGAAATAATGATTATGATCACTTATTTTTTTATTTGTTTGCATTTGATATTATATATTTGTATTTATATGTATATATATATCATTATATTTGCTAATCCGGTAATACCACCAATATTACCGGTCCGACCGGTAATACCGCGTACCGGTGGCTAGACCGGTATGACCACTGGTACGGTATTTAAAACACTGGTTTATATGATGTGCCGTTATAAATTATTTACAGTCTCTGTGTCCCAGTGCGCTAGATTGATGACGTCCCCGAAATGAGCTCAGGAAGGAATATTATGTCAAACCTTGCAGGTGGATAATTATCCGGCATAATGGTTAATGAACTGAGTGATACTAATTTCGAAAATGAAGAAGTCGAATTAATTTTATTATTAGTAATTAAATTAATCAACGGACATTAAATCTTAAACATGGGGAGGTAAATCGGTCAATTAGATTAATATTAATTAATCATTTGGAGGTTTAAATTTACTGAATAAATTGGAGCTAAATGGGGAGAACAATAATATTACTCTAGTGGTATGTTTTATTATTTAATTTTAATTAGGAATTAGGAATTAATTATATTCCATAATTTAGATTCTATTAAGAGAGGAATATTCCTTCTAGATTAATTACCCTAGGGTTAGGAGACTATGGAGTCTTCTAGAAGGGTGATTGAAGTTAGGAAGAATAAGACTTCTACATTGGAAAGGATATGGAGCATGATTAGGATTCCTAAGCCTAATGGGATAAGTCCATATTTAACACCTCTTTAAGGTTCCTAATGTAGCCTATAAACACGCCATGTCCCAACCTCTTCCCCAACTATTGTGTGAGCTTGACTTTAAGGTTCTATGAGGAAGAGAAAAATCGAAATCTACATATATTCGAGAGTTCGGGAGTTTCGATTAATCGCACCACCAAGATTAGTCGAAGTAGGTGTTAAGGTAATACATTAGAAGATCTTAAGATGATATGCCCTAGAAACAACAATATACATTCTGAATAGGGTACCTTCTAAATCAGTACCATCTACACCATCGGAGTTGTGGTGTAACGCCCCACTTTATTTTAAAGGATTTATCGAATTTATTTAATAAAAATCACAATAAATTTTTCGCAAACTTTAATTTAATTAAAAACTCAGTGGTCGCTACTCAAATTTACCAAAAGCCTTTATCCACAAAAACGCAAACACTGTAACCAAGACATCATACTCGAATATCAGATCATAAACCAAACCGGCATTCATTAAGTTCCAAATCATAAAGATAATTCACAATTCCAAGTTCAAAACGACACAGTCATAATATCTCAACATAAATGAGCGGAAGCAAAATAAATAAGCGCTAAATAAAGCATGACCACCACCGTCTTGTCTCGTCACCCACCGACTGCTTAACCTGCATCAGTTACGAGCAGGTGGGAGTGAGTACAGTTAACTATCGTACTCACACTATGCACATGAATAACTTATAAATGGTATGGTCGCAGCATGAACATAAACAATTAAATCATGTCACATCTCTAGTCACATCAATGACTCTAGTCTCATCAAAGACTCACTCATGTACATCTATGCTCATCAAAGCTAAGCCATGCCATATCAGTGAAACATGGGAGTGCGTGCCACATCAATGACACGGCCTTCTCATAGGTCTTAATGAGATTTACCTCACAGGGTAACCGTATCTTATCATACGGGGACAACCGTATCGACGGCCATCAAGCTCACATCGATAGGCTACATGTTCATTTTCATACATAGATCACACCAAATTTTTATCATAAATAAATCACACATATGCATAGATAATTTTTGAATAACCCACCTGGATTCCGAATTGATAATAACTCAAAGCAATTGGTAGTAGGTCGAGGCTGGACTCCTCAATTACCTACATTGAGTCAAGATGCTACAATCAACATCTATCTTGACTTTAAACGGAAAACACAAAACAGACCTAGTCGAACTTGTTTCGACTAAGTAGTTCGTGAAGTCCTGTGGATGTTGGAACACTAAGACTCGGCACTAAACTCGACCACATATGGGAGATCACATAAATCCATCTAAGGATAGACCAAGTTCAACTCACAACAGAATGGAAAGCAAGTCAATCACAGATTTAACTTCAAAATCATAGTTTAGAAATTACTAGCTATTAATCACATGAGATTCATTGACCAGGCTGCCCTTCGACTTAGGCTCTGCAATTTTACACAAAATTACATCTTCCAGTAATAAGTAAAACCATAAATTTTCAACTTTAAACTCAAAGCACATTAATTTATAAAATTCTTACAAGAAATCAGCAAAAACGCACATGAATTCATATCTGAACCAAATGAACGATTCAGGACTTGAAAATTTAACACAACAAGCTACAGTATGATAGGGACAACATGTAAAAATATCAGCCCTGGACATTAAATGTGCTATTTTTAAAAATTCACACAAGATTCAGCAATTATCGAACTTAAATCAAAACAGCACTAAAATGAACTCCAAACATTTTCATCTTTTAACAGCATGAATATACACCAAATACAAACATCTCAGCCAAGTTTCAGAATTTTTCATGAACAAACCGATTTATAGTAATTCATAAAGTTTTCAGCAGAAAAAGAAATTAAATTATTAACCATATCAAATTTACTCCAAAAATTCTAAAAATTTAACACAGCATATAAACACATCAGAGGCACAACATATCAAAATTTCAGATCATTTGAATCACGAACCAATTTATTAAGCATTAAACACTATTCTGATCAGAATTCACTTTAATTATTAAAAATAGCTACAGGCCTCTAAAAATTACGAAATTTTTACACAAGGCTGGAAATGAACAAATAACATATCCCTCAAAATTTCAAGTCATTCCGAGCAGCGAACTATTTTTAAAAATTCAAACACCAAAACAGCGACAATCAAGCTCGACAATTTAACGATTAATTAAACACACGAAATTTCTCGTCCGAGGCCTTCCCATAAGGCCAAGGACTCGACATCGTTCCAATATCCACTGACTTACACGACTTTCGGGGTCTCGTTCAATTTCTCATAATTGAAGAGATCCCGAACAACATAAACGACACATAAAATCATATCTATCACCAAATATCATACCGAACACAATCGCATAATATACACATCTCTCATGTCAAATCACAAATCACACCTACTCATATATGACATAATCGATTTAAACGAGACGGGATCGAGCCTTTGTACCGTTCTCGGGAATCAAACGAAAACGGACGAACGTAAGGTTGACAGGCTCGACGGAGGTTCGCGTCTCGCCGGA